CTCTCTCTCTCTGCCCCCCCTCTCTCTCTCTTTCTCTCAGTGCTTGGTACTTCGTGCTTGGTCGTGTTTGGTTCGTGCATCGGTGCCACTTTTGTGCTACTTGGTGCTACTGGGTGCATTTGTGCTACTCCGTGCTTGGTTTGGTTTCGGTGCTACGTGCATCCGCGATTGGTTCGTGGGATCCGTGCTTCGTGCTAAGTGCAATGGTGCTACTTGCAATGGTGCTACGTGCATCGTGGAATCGGGTTGGTTCAGTCTGGCATAGTCGAACCTTTTTCTATGGAGTTGTGTAAAGCGAACATGACGTCACACACGCACGCAGATGCATCTTGGGCAGACTGTCGGTGTTCAACCTCCTATAAAACAGTCTGGACAGTTTTGCTTCCTTTTTTGGCGTGCAGGAAGGCACGAGCGAGCGAGAGAAAGAGAGGGGGGGGGAGGGGGAGGGAGAGGGAAGAGGTAAATGGGAGAAGCAGGCTATAGTGGTTTCGTTTTTCTCTTCTGATCGGGAAAATGAGTAGAGGCAGGGCAACATCGGGAAGGAGTGGAGAGGGAAACAAGTGGCCATGACGGTGGGACATGAGGATGGGATTGGGTTCTTGATGACCAGGGCGGAAAAGGTATTGGGGTCCAAATGCAATGGGAGGGAGAGGAGGAGGCGGGGGAGTAAGGACGAGGGAAAAGGAAGATGGGTGTGGCAGTAATTGGGGATTTAAGATCGCGGCGACGCAGGACAAGTGCAGGATGGGATCAGGTGAAAGGAGGACGGGTGCCACATTTGAGGGAAGGGAGTGGGTAAAGAGACACAAGCTGTGCCACGTGGGGCGGGTTAGGGGGACTTGTGGGGAGAGGGGTTAAACGGCACGATCGTCCTTTTCGTTGCCCTTTTTTCTTCTTCTTTTTTTGTGTGTGACAGAGGGGGGCTGGGAGGGGGAGGCGAGAGGGCTAGGAGGAAAGCGGGGGGGATGGGTGGGGGGAGGCGAAGGCTCGAGATCATGTTTTGGTCTTGTGTGTGTGTGTGTGTGTGTGTGTGTGTG